TTTTGTTTCCAAGCACTCTGATATGGAATGGACCCATTCTAAGAACAGAACACACTTTATAACAGTAATTTTAGCTCCAGAGTATTTATGGCTCTCGTATTTGAGAATCATTTCAAAATAGAAGCTCTGCGGCCCCGGAGAGGAGTGACCTTGGTCATGAGGACCCAAAGGCTTGTGGTGATGCGGCATGTCTGGAATTTCTTGTAGCACGGGACTGCCTGTTTGTACTGTTCCTTCTTCCCTTTGCACTGCCCGCCTCCCTGCACACTCTATGTTCTGGGTTTGGAGAAAGTTCCTTTCTATTTCCCATCAGGATACAGATCAAGGCTATTACATTTAGCAGAAGGGTTGTATTTTTTCACTGTTGCAGATGTCATAAGATAGATCTCTAAAGTGGAGGCCTGACAGACTAAGAAAAGAATGTAGGGCAGTAAAAGCGAACTTTTCAGAGCTTTCAGTGATACAAACAGCCCACTACAGCCTGTGTGCCATGGGTTTGCTACCACTGACTTAGCGTCTTTCCAACAACATGAGATGCTCCCTACTCATAAGTCAGCCCCAGAAAGGTGCTGTTTCATCTCAAGAGGAATTATGGAAGCCTGTTGGGGTTCACCCTAGTGACTTCAACAAGATAAACCTGTATCAGGTTCTGAAAAGATTGGAGAGAGAGGAGATACAAAGAATAACAAAGAGCGAACATAGCCACTCTAAGAAATCTCTTGAAATGACGAGTGGTTGTGGGAAGCTGAGTCCGGGGAAGAGATTTTAGCTCTGCACATTTATGAATCCTCATCTGCATAGGTGCCAAGCTGGGGAAAGGTACCCCAAAGTGCCCAGGAGAAGACAAGCAGCTGTTTTCAAATACTAACAATGACTGCTCTCATTAACTTGTTCATAAATTCAATTCTTGTGCCACAAGCACACAACTTCTACGGAAATGGTGAAGCAAGGCGGTCCAATTTGCTATGGACCTTCCCAAGGGATCCCGGCAGAATGGGAATGGGGTGGAAAATATGGACTCTAGCATCAGACAGAAATCCAGGTTGATACCTTCTTGGTTTCTTTATCTCTTTGAGTCCTCATTTCCCCCAGTTATTTATGGGTGATAGTAAAGCTGCTAAAAATACTTATTGATATAATACAATCATTGATTGGTAATAACAGTGAGGATACTGTTGTAAGGACTGAGCCTAATATGTATAAGGCATTTAACACGCTCCCTATCTCTGCAGATTAATGCACCCTAACCTTCTCTCTGTGACAGGGAAGATGTGTCGCACAGCTTCTCCTTGACACCAGTACAGGTGAAAGGCTTATCTATCGCAACATCTAAAAGGCAATCGGAGCTACAACTTAATTGCTGTTGGTTTTACTTGTAGTTTGCAAAGAACTCTTCATGGGCCTTTTCTTCCCTAATGCACCACACAGGAGGGTCTTATCGGCCATTTATATCAGGGTGTGAAAGAGTCTGAGATGTTCCTTCCATGAGTAGATTTTTTGAGAAGGGGAGAAAAGTGACTTCAGACTCCCAGGTTGGACTAGAAAAGAATCTCAAAAATTTAAAGGGTTAACGCATCCTGCATATCTGTGGCCATCTCTCCAATGTTTCTTTTCCCCAGGCCTGATGGACGTGCAAAGCTTTTGAGTGGAAAAAGCAATGCAAAACACACATTTTCTAATAAGTCAGAAGCCATATATTTGGATAACCTTAGAGCAAAACTATGCAGATTGGTTGAAAAAGTATTGTACATGTACAGACTTTTTGTATATATTTCCTCACAGGCCCCAGTACAACTGAAGATTGTAATCACAATGATAAATTTTATCAGGGTTGATCTTAGAAAATAACTGCATAAATATACAATACAAACAGAAATTAATCCATTTCCCACTTACTTTGGCCAGAAGATGCAAAGTTTAATTTTTCAGCATACACTATTAAGCTTTGTATCTTTAGAACCCGCCTTGAACACTGGGTGTGTATAGGAAAACAAACTTTACCCCCACCCTCACATTAGAAGAATGAACATGAAGTGTTCTGGGGGCCCAGAAGTGGGGTTTCTCCTACCAGCAAACACGATCCACTCTGCAGTGGACACCAGCTCGATGTCCCACCAGGTCAGTTACATCTGGACAACTTCTACCTGGAGACAGTGTCAGATCCCCCGGGTCCAGGGCTCAGCCCCAAGACTACCCCCAACTTTAGATGCGGCTGTCAGCTACAGGCTGTCTTATCTGTACTGACAGGCCAGCTATGATTTGGGGTTCCCACAGCCTCCTCTTGTGTTGGATGAATTTGCTTGTGTGGCTCACAGAGCTCAAAGAAATACTTCCTTTAGATTTATAGGCTTTTTAATAAAGGATATTGTGAAGGATACAGATGAAGGATGTACAGGTGTGTGTGTGTGTGTGTGTGTGTGTGTATGTGTGTGTGTGTGTGTGTGTTGGGGCGGGGGCCCCTTGTCCTGTAGGGTACATCACCGCCGGGACTCTGCACACATTCAGCTGTCCTTTGCATAGGCAAGATGGAAGCCTGCACAACTAAGCTCTATCTAAATGCTTAAAGCTTAAAGCTCTATGTAATGCTGGGGGGTGATGGTGGGAGGTATAGCTCAGTGGTAGCCTATGCGCATAACACACACAGTGTCCTGTGTTTCATCCCCAGTACCAACAAACAAACAAACAAACAAATAAAAAACTGAGGGGTGAGGAAACCCAGCAAGGCCCATCTGTTCATATTCTTCCCAGTCTCCCTGGGTAGCAGTGCTTCCTCCAGGGGATGGGGAAGATGCCTTCTGAAAAGGGGTCTAATGACCTACTCACTTTCAGAGTTTTAAGAGGGGGAGTAAGAAGGAGAAGAGAGAACACAAAAAAACCCTGGTGCCTCTGATTCTAGTTCACCGCCCACTGTAAAATCACTCTCAGCGAGGCATACTCTAACGAGGTAAATTAGAGGGTTCTTGTAAGGCCAATTTGAAGACAGAAGGTGCAGGAAGATAAGAGTTCCTATGACCTGCCTTGAAGAGAACTCTAGTTTCTATGGCCTGTCTTGGGGATGGAGTCACAAGACTGGAACCGTTCGGTGAAAACCCAAAAATGTGTATCATCAAATCATATTGGGGAAGACATGCTACTGGTTGCTTGAGTGGAATATTTGAAAGCAACATTTGTCATCTCAATTTAAAAAGAATGGGGTTATGAAACATTCTTATTAAGAAATAGGAGGGTTTTAACTTTGCCAGTTGCAAAAAAAAAAAAAAAAAAAGGATGCTTAGTTTACTTCCTCCTCTTTGTCTTCTGCAGAAATGTAACTGTCACATTGGTCTGAGATCAGTCTATGGTGACAATTTACTCTCTTTTGGGGGCCAGATTGTCAAATATCATAACACAAGAGTTTTGTGGAGAACAATTTTCCAGTAAGCAGTGAACTGGAATCAGAGGAATCACCCGCTTTTATTTCCTCTTTCCTCTCTTAACTCCCCATCCCTAAGTTCTTTTTTTAATATTTTCTAAGTTTAGTGGTACATTTTAGGTATAAAATATGGTTACATTCATCATTGGGATCTTGTACCTTTACATGACTTATCTTTGTTCTTATTTTTCCCTATTCCCAAGCCCTCCCTTTATCCGCTCCATCCTTCCCTGTTTACAGAGACATTATTTCCATTTTTTCCTTTTCACATATTTTTTCCTTTCCCTTTTTACCTTCCCTTACCTCTTCCACTTCCTCTACTCTTTTAGCCCTTTTCTTCCTTTTACACAATATCAATTATGCATTTTGATCCTTATTTACACTTTCAGTTTTTCACTCCAGAGAAACTATTTGGTATTACACATGTTTGGCTTATTAAATTCTGAGACTAAGCATGGTCAGCACAGCCAGCACCTTGCCAGGTGAAAGTGGGGAATGTTAGAAATTGTCTAAAACTCTCTAATACTTGAGTGGTCGGGACAGGAAGAGTCCGAGATCAGAAAATGTTTTTTAAGTTCAGATTCATTTCTTGGTCTTGGCTTAACTGACACAGTCTAAGCTTATTCTTCTACTTTATTATATATTCACTCAAAGCAAAGAATTTTAATGTGCAAAACATGGGAAACTGTCTAGAACCTTATGAAAAATGAAATTACTTATACCGGGAGTAGGGAATCTTTGAGTGCTTAAGCTAAAGTCAGCAGTTGCCACATGATGATAGTTTTTTTTTTTTTCACAAGTAGTCTGACTCCAGCTAAAATTTCAGGATACAGAGAAGGCTCTGGCAATGCAGTAGAAGAGAGGCTGGAACCCACACCAAGCAAGCAAACTTCCCAGCCTGTTGTTCACGGCTGAGCAAATCCCTGGACAAACCTTCAGGATGCTCTTAGAACCAGCCCTTCACTTATACCTACAGGCTCTTGTAACTGTCTATTTAAGGCTCTCTAGAGATTTGCATGAGTTAAAGCGGAAAAATGATACAAAACTAAAGCCAGAGTAGTGTGCGTGCACAACTTGTACATGGAGCAGTTTCCAAGTGATTTAAAAGTCAAGTGATCTGGCAACACAGTCCTTACCAAGCACTTCTCATGGTGGCTGCTTTTGCGTCCATATTCATTGATTGTCAATATTTTTTCTAGACAACTGAGACACCTCAATGTTTATGCGGTACAAATCAATTATTCAGTGAGAAAAAACTTCCAGCAGCTAACTCTTCCATCACAAAACCATTTGAAATTCTGAGGAAGTCAATTCCCGAAATGAAAAAAAAAAAAAAAAAAAAAAAAAAAGCTTCCATTCCTCCTCTTCCATCTCCAACTGTTCTGGATAAAAGCAACACGGAAATAGAAAAACCGAGTATTATGGCCACCAAATAGACAAGCAGCCTAGTAGTAACTTGTTGCTTTCAGGAAGAGATGAATCTGATAACCAAGTCAAAGAAAACCAACCACAACAACACTGTGCACCATCAGCTTGGCAGTGAGGAGGCATAACTGGGTCAGAACTGAGGAAAGCAGGAAATACTCACGATCATTATAAACGTGCCCAGGAACTCGGACACCGTCTCCCTGGCTAGGCTGCTCTTCAAGGCCAGCCTGTGCTTGAAGGTCTTGCGTGTCTCTCCCTCGTCAGCCTGCATCTTGGGTCTTTTCCGATAATATTCCTCCAGTCCTGTCCTGGGCCTCACCTTCCCGGGCACATGAAAACGGAAACCCGTAGGCAGCTCTGCGTAGATTCCTGGAGATGTCTGGTGAGACTTCTCTGAGTGTACAAATGCTGTCCAATTAAAAGCTGTGACTTAATCTTCTAGTGAAGCCTCCATTCCCTGTTCACTGCTATTTATTTCGATTAGTGAGTTCTAACCTGCAGTCCTCAAAACGGCCCTCTTCGTGCCTCAGAGATTAATCATTACCTGTATTCTCCAGGTATTTTTTTTTCTTTCTTGGTTTTTGTTTTTTTCTCTTCTAGGAGATGAGAAAAGAAATGTGTTGGTTGTGTTGCCAAACCACAGTGACGGCGGGCCCTGGTCCAGGAGAGATTTACATGTTACACAATTGCAGGTTTCTGATTTTTTTTTTTTAACTATTCAGAAGTGGGTGGTTGGAGTATATTTTGTAATGGTCAAGTGAGTTATATAGGTAAATCTGGTATAAACACTCTCTACTAAAGGAGGTTTTCATCCAAACTAGAGAACATGAAAAAGAAAAGAAAAGAAAAGAAACACTAGGTTTCCTTTCTTTCTGGTTTTTTGTTTTGTTTTGGTTTTTTTTTGACACAGGGCCTCTTTATGTTGCCCAGGCTGGCTTTGAATTTGTGGAAATTCTCCTGCCTCAGCATCCCCATTGCTGGGATTATAGGCATGCATCAAGAAGTTTCACTTTCTTATCAGACTAATCCCCTCTTTTTCTTCCAGTATTATTTCAGTGATTTCATGACACCACTTGGAGGTTGGTAAGAGGCATAATGGCCATCCTAGAGATGGAGAAATTGACACATAGAGACACCACTGCGAGCTCCCCATTCTGAGCCTGCGGGACAGGATGGGGACACCTCCGCTGCAACTGAAGCTGCATCCTATCAGCTGACGGGGTTCAGATGGCTTGGGGCCCAAGAATCAGAAGAAGGGCAAGCGACTTCTTGAGAGTCTTCTGAATCTCAAGTTGTCCCCCTTCCTTTACCGTGGCACAGTGAAGCCAAACACACAGACAATAAACAGATTCTATACGGCATGCAGATCCCTACGCCAGAAGAACAATCTGAGTGTGTATCATCCTAGTCCAACAAGAAAGGAGGGAACCTGCCTAACCAAGTTCTGGGTTCTACCATTTAAATCTGATGAATTAACATCCTTTCAAGTAGTGAGCTGTGTATGTGACGAGCTTCCTGTCCTGTCAACTATTCAAGCCTTGTTTTCCACGAAAGGAGGGAACCTGCCTAACCAAGTTCCCGGGTTCTACCATTTAAATCTGATGAATTAACATCCTCTCAAGTAGTGAGCTGTGTATGTGACGAGCTTCCTGTCCTGTCAACTATTCAAGCCTTGTTTTCCACAGCTAGTTTGTCTGGAGAAAGAGAGCCCAGCAGTCGTTTCTGAATACCAAGGCAGCCCCACAGAAATACCACCCACATCACATGCTCCTCCCTTCCTGCCTCTCCATCTTCCACCCCTGCTCCGGAAGAGCCAGATCTGCTGCCTGCCCTTCTCTACTGGTCCAGGAAGCTCTCAGTCCGTTCCAGCTGTGCAGGCAGCAGGAAGGCAGGAGGGGAAGATTTGGAGAACACAGCTGGGGAGGAGAGCCAGCCCCCAGGCAGAGGAAAGCACTGGACCTGTACATGAAACTTAGAATTTAGACCTAAACGCGTTGACTTTGCAGCACCAGGATAAAACTCATCACAAGGACTTTCACTCCTGTTAAAGTACCATGGCTATCATTGTTCCAGAGTTACCTATAACCAAATCCTTGTGGATAAACCAGAAAAACAGGACCTTGTTACTGTGGCTTCAACTAGGAATACACAAGGGTGCTCTCTGCTCTCTTCACTCACTCATCTGACAGATATGTACGGCATAAATCACTGGGTGCAAAGCACTGTACTGAAGAAAAGCACACAGGATTCTTGTCCTTCATAAGCTGGGAGCAAATGAGGGAGACAAACACAAGGAAAATCATCACGTGCACAAAACACAGTCACAGCTGAAATGTATGCTCCCCACATTCGCAGGTGGAGGCCACATTTCCATGAGCAGATGTGCCAGAGGCATCTCACCTGACGACCACCACAGAAACCAGGTCTGAGCTGAGATCAGAAACATGCAGAGGGGTGAAATCAGCTGAAATGGGGAAGGAAGTAAATGTACCAAGACACAGAGGGGCGGGGTGGGGACAGCATGGCACCATCAAAGAATGAAGGCTGCACAGCCACGGCCCCCAGAGAAGTGTAAGGCAGAGGTGTGCAGAGTGAGCCCAGGGCTATGGGCAGTGGTCAGACCACACTGAGCCTTGGGAACTGTGAGTAGGGCTGGAAGCATAATAAGTCCTGGCATGGATAAAGGTGGAGCATGACATCATTAGGTCCCTGAGCTTAGGAAAGATCATCTTAGCTGGGGAAGGGGGAGTGTTAAAGGGACCCTGAGGATTCATGAATTTTTTATGTCCTCAAATTAGAAGGACTTGGTGACTTGGATGTGGATGATGAGGGTGAAGGTCGACAGATTCCTGGCTTGCTGGGGAAGGTGGCGCTGAGCCCGGGGAGAGAGCACCGGGATGGTGATGGGCATGCATTCATTCTACGAGTGAAAAGTTGAGCCTCGGGTGCTTCTGAGAAATGCAAAGCAGGAAGCAGCGTGGGCCCGGATACAGCGGGTATGGCCCTCTGCCTACAGAGGGGAATGGAAGCCAGGTACGGCACAGACAAGGCCCTTTAGGGAGGTTTGAAGAAAGCAGAGGCTGAGCAGCACACTCGGGTAGAGGAGGATGCAATCTACCATTTCTTTTATTCTACCTTTAGGGGACGGTCATGCTTTGCTCAGAACCAGTTCCCCACAAATGTATCTCACTCCCACTCCCCACAGCCACCAAACAAAACACCCACGGGCCTCCTGCAAAGGTAAGGGGTGGGAGACACCTTCCTCCACCTATGTAGAAACACTCTTGCTCTAAATTCCTACTGGAAGCCTTGGAGAGACTCCTAACTTCCATTCATGTATATGAGGTAGGATAGAAGAAATAAATCTAGGTAGAAAGGGCACAAGGGAATCATGATTTTTTAAAAAATGTGCTTTACAGAAAAGCTGCAGCTTCAGAACACAAGCCTGGCCGGGTGTGGTGGCACAGGCCTGGGATCCCGGCACTGGGGAGGCTGAGGTGGGAGGACTGTCACAAGTTCAAGGCCAGCCTGGGCTACATAGTAAGTTCAGTGCCAGCCTGAATCACATAGGTAGACACCGTCTCAAACAAGCAAACAAGCGAACAAACAACATAAGGCTGGTTTATTTACCTTTTATTTTTCCTGCTCCCCCAACAGCAAACCTGGGCAACCCCCTTTCAGTGCAAAGGGGTCTGCACATTTCCTTTTACTTGTGAGTGGTCCTTTTTCACTCATGAAGGGACCGCCCTTTTGGAATTGCCCATAGGAATAGACCGTTATCTCCCCAGGGGTGGTCCATCCTCTCCTATCACTAAGGCTATAGATTTTCACATTCCGCAGATTTCCTGCCTACAGCACATTAAAGTTCTCCAGTTCCCATCTGTATGGTGCCTCATTTCCTTAAGCACCCGCACTCCGATCTTGAGTGTGCCCTATGTTGACCTCTAATAAATCCTTCTCATGCCTCTTTTATGGACACAATCCTGAAAATTCTTTTTCCCTGGTGAGTCAGCGAACACACATATTTATTTATTTATATTTATTGGTACTGGGGGTCAAGCTTGGGACCTTGTACATGTAAGGCAGGTGGTGGCACCACTGAGCTAAATCCTGAGACCATGCATAATTATTTTAAATGGAAGGGTTAAGTTCCTTATTTCAGCCTCGGGACCCTCAGACCCAGCTCAGTGACATACATACTCATCTGGAAAAGATTTTCCCTAAGTATTTACCACCCCTCAGACATAGCATGAGGATTGGGGATTCAAAGATAGATAGGTCCCTCTGTCAAAGAATTCATAGTCTAAGTGACCAGGACCCCCGGTGAAGCCCTCATTCAGTAAAACACAGGTATGTGCAAGGTGCTGAGCTCGAATCCCTGCTATTACCATGCGGACATCGGAGAGGCCATTCCGTGTTTCCCAACACAGCAGTTCTACAATTGTGTGCCCCAGAGAGCCATGCTCAGTCTCCAGGGCCCACCGCCTCCCTCCCAGACTCAACTGCTGTCTTCTCTGCTTCCTGGTTTCCCCTGCTCACGTGACCCCCAAGTGTTTAAACTGCCGCGGTCTCACATTATGCTCTCACTTCCGGACCTCTCCTGCTTTGGCCAACTTCACCCCCGCTCAGAAGGTCCTCTGTCTGGCTACCCCTGGGACTGTGTCACCACCACCAAAGAGGATTGCTTCTCTTTTGGAACTTTCTCACCACAGTTCATTTCACTGATTAATATGCCTAGCACTCAGATTTCATCCGCCGCCGACTTTCTCAAGTCTGGTTCACATTTTCCTCTTCACCTCAGTCCCCCTATGCCTCCCCCTCCTGCTTCTTACCGCATGATTACAAGTTCCTGATGCCCTTACCTGCCTCTTGGTCTCCACTGACCCCTGACTCTTCTCCACCCACAGTGCTCAACCCCAGTTCTGGATATGCTCAGCCATCTATTTTTATTTTTCTCAAGGATTTTCTCCCCAGACTGCCAAACAACGCGAGGGAAAAACACACAGAGGTATTGACTGATCCTTTGCAGGTCACCAAGATACAGCCACAGCAGTGGCTCCGGGTCCTCGGTTGACCTTTTGTTTTAAAGGTTCCAGATTTTATCGTGCATTAGGATCACCCGCTCTCAGAGACTCTGATTCGTAGATTTGGGATGGAGCCCAGGAATCTCACGAGTACCTGGACAATTCAGACCCTGCTGGTTGGAGCTCTCACTCTGCGTGCATATAGCCTCAGCCTCTCCTGTGCCCCTCAGACCCAGCTGTCTTGTTCAATTAATCCATTAGGAAAACAAGCAGGGATACTGGCCACCATTCTGTGTGAGTCCCTCCTTCTCCCCTCTCCTCCTCCAAAAGTTGCCCCAGTTTTATTTCTGTCGTCTTCCTTTGCTGTCCTCCTCCTTTCTAGGGCTGAGCCCCAGCCTCTGTGCAGACCCCAGCCAATCATTAGTCCTCCCACCCCGTCTGCTTCCCAAACTGGCTTTTGTCCCAGGTCCCAAAACAAGCCTGGGACTCTCTTCAGCTGAAAAACATTCCTCCAAAGCTGATTTGCTTCAAATAACCATTTCTTCTGGCCCCTTCCACTTTCTTTCTTATCCCTTTTGGGGAAGAAATTATCTTTTTCCCTTGAGGGTAACATTA